ACAATATATATATTAATTTTTCGGTTTTTTGAGTTATGACAGTATTGAAGTATATGAACGTTATGCCTATGGGGTAATTTTTAAACATTTATCAATGTTATTGAAAAAGATAAAAATTTTACCTAAACAAGTATCGACGTTTTACTTTTTGGTATTCGCGATATTTACTCAGTACTTGTCAAAAAGTATCGAGTCCTCGATACTACTCAGTACTCATGAAAAGTATCGATATTCTGTACTCGGTACTCGTATCGTTCTATCACTATGTATGTGTTTATTTTTTTAATACAAAACAAATAACGATTTTTAAATAAATTGTTTAGTTTTTCTAAGACATAATTTTCTACCAAAATTTCTTATAAAACGCCCAAATATTTAGTAACACATATGTAAATGTATGCACTACATTAGACCGGATCACCTTACAAACAAACAAAAAAGTTGGCCGCACACCCCAAATCTAATGTATGTATTTTTGCAATGCAATTTCGAAAAAAAAATATTTGGTCGTACTCTGGAGTCGGGCAACAAAAAACGTTTTTAAATAGTTCTACTGGATTAATCGTAATACTTCCTTCGCAAGAGTTTAATAGGGCTATTCGCGATCCGGTGCAAATGGCCTAGCATCATTGCATTGTAAATTTGTATTGCAAATTATTTGCAATACACAAACAAAATACACGCATTTGCATTTGTCATGGCTTGGCAAATTTGCAATACCGAAAATCCATAGCATAAAAATGCTATGCATTGCATTCATAAACAAAACCAAAGCTGATGCACAAAAATTGTTTTGCAAAAGCTTTGCCATGACAGTTTAATAAAGGTCGCTCACAATCCATGGCATATTTCTGCAATTGCATAATTTGTCAGCTCTTATACACCGAATCGCGAATAGCCCTAATGATTTTTTGTGAGCTTTAATTTACTGGCATTAGGGTTGCACGTTAAGGTGATGGGAAGTGAGATCTTGTAAGTACTAGAACGGAGTATTTAAGGTCAATGAACGAAAAGGAGGACAATAAACACAAAAAAAAATTTATCCATGAGACAAGAAAATCTTTCGAAATTTCCTTGCATGTACATATCGCACACATAGATCTAAATTGCGATCAACTCAAAAAAAATTGGGCGATTTTTTTACATAAATCAGTTCATAGGACTCACATCCAATTAATGTAAATATATTTTTCTTCATGGTTATACACATTAAATAAAAAACTAGTGTTATACCTGTTTTTTTTTTATTAATTGCGTTAAATATTTACAATCATAAGCAGTTAAATTTCCCTCTCTGAATTTTGAGTTAGCTCACTTTAGATCTAGGTGTGCGATATTATGTACATATGTGTAAAACCGTAAAAAAAAATATTTTTAAAAAAATTGTGTTGAATTGTATTAAACATTCACATTCGCACTTATATATGTATATTAATAACTTACTGATAAATATAAAATTCTGAAAAATAATGTGCAAATCAGCGAGAGGCAAATAAAAATGCAAGTATTATTTTTTAATACACGTAAAAGTTAGCAAAATAAAATAAACAGAAGAGAATGACAAATCAAGAAAAGCGGAGGCGCTATCACAAACAAACAACAAATGCGGTCGCTATTAAGTAAGCCAGACGGCACAGCCACGTAAAATAACAGAAATGATAAAAATATAAAAAAGACAACAGACCACAATACAGTAGAAAGATCAAGTATTAAGGACCAGGAAAAGCGTGCACACAAATATGAAGGTGTTGAGGTGCTGAAGGCGCAAGCAAAAAAAAAATTTTATGACTCGACTGTTGGCAAGATATGAACTTCGAGTCTTGCCAATTACTTTTATTTTGTTATAATTTTTTTTACGCTACACTGAAGGTTGGACATTTTTCGATGATTAATAAGCACAATAAACGTGCATAGAGAATTCCTTATAAATCCAATGGCATACATACATAAGTACATTTATGTAACCAGCAATTCAACAAATTAACAACGTTGAGGGGGATTTTCATAAATTACTTATTTTAAATATTTATTTACTCTTTTTGCCACTGTTTGCTTTTTAGTAGAAGCATTCACAGCACTTTTAAGCAAATGTGTATTAGCTGTGTTATTATGAATGTCTGCATCTGTTTGAGCTGCTTGTCTTGTATTTTTATCTATTTTATCTTCACCTTTCCTAATCGTACTATTTTGAGTTGATATGTATGTTGATTCCTTAGTCATACCGAAAAAAAAAGAGGAACAGGCCTACAACCGCATGGCACCCGCAACTAACTAGACAAATAATCCGGAATCGTACATATATCAGTGACGCGGACGACGTTCCACTACAGACTGAGAATATTGCCTTTCTCACTGGACGCCAAACAGCCCAACGTGGCCCCACTCACTGAAAGAGCTAAACGCGCGCAGCTCCGTCTATATACGTTAGCGTGAACAAATTAGCATCCAAAAATATGTACATACATACATCTGTATGTATGGATGCACATACATAGTCATGCAAAGGTATATGGGCTGTATGGATCCATAGGCAGATATGAGTACATATTAAGCTAATGAAAACATTAGCTGTTATTCTCAGTAACTAAGTGATTAACCCAGCTTACTTGCTGACTAAGGGGAATGTATAGCAGCAGCTGATTGACCGTCCATTTAATACTTTATATTATGTTAAAAAATAAAATTCAAGGAACTCCGATGTTTCTTATGCGAGTGCATATAGAAAATTATATATGTGTGCCTTTACTCTATAAGGGAATGCACATATGAATATTTAGTTGTACAGACTCGATGTAAAAATTTGATTATTTCTTCCGGTTTCTTTTGCCGCTTTTGTCTATTTACTAGCAGTTCACTTAATCGGTAATAATTCCAATAATTAAAGGCATTAAGTAACAAGGTTAAGGCCGACGCTTTTTAATAGTTTTTAAACAAGTTTTCATACAATTAATGATCTCTTAGCAAAGGCATGAACGCCTTATGGAAATAGGTTTTTAGGATGGACATTTGGTATCAGATATACTTCTAATCTTCTATACCAAATAAGGTACGTACAGTGTTCGGTGTGTGGTAGTATCTTCCTTGCGCTTTACTTCTTCCTTTTTGCTTTACTAATATATAACGAAAAAATTTCGGTACTAAAAGCTGAAAGAAAACATGGACTACATCGTAAGGTGCTTGCCTATTTTCCAATTGGGGGGTTTCAAAACTGATATTTGTATTGTGATTAGAGTGCATATTAGTACTATTTAACCTGTTAAAACTAAATAGCATCAAAAAAGCAGAACAAAAAAAAATATATAGATATGTATGTATATATATGTAGTGATGTACTTATGTGCATACATACAGTGACTCAAACAAGTGTTCACGTGTTCATTTTTTTTATATGTATTCGCAATGCTTTTCGGGTAAAAAATGCGTTGATTTTTAGTTTTTTTTACAGCTTTTGCGGTTTTTTTGTATACAAGTGCAATTTATAAAAAATAAGCGTTTTTGTTGTTTTTCTGTAAAAAATCGTGTTCAAGCTTAAACCAAAATCAAATAGATCAAGGGGTCAAACTTCATACAAAGTTTAAGAAATTTCAACAAACTTTGGTTAAAATTTCGAGCTTTTTTATTTTATAGCGCATACATTTTTAGTCTAATGAAGTGCGGTTAACAAAAAATGCGTTGATTTTTAATATTTTTTTTTGTGACAGCTTTTCCGTTTTTTTTTTTTTTTTTGTATATTGTTTAACATATTTGATATGAACCTTAATTAAATACCCTAAAGAAGAATGATTTTTATGAATTAAAGAACCGGCAAAGCCTCCTCCAAAAGGCCTTATAAAAAATACGTTCAACAAGGGCCCTTCTGGAAGCCCTTTATGGGTATCGCAAGCAGAAGCCCCTTAATGTGTGCCACTCTATAGAAAAAAAAGAAAGGAGAAAGGAATCCAAAGTGGAAAGCCTCTTTACTTTCAAGAAGGCCTTTTGGAAGGCCTTTTACCTGCTTAAATTATCTACTTGGCATATAACAGCATGCATATATCTTATACTAATTTTAGTAGTAGTAGAAAGAGGACTTAATCCTTACATTTGCTTCCATAAATCTCGCTGAAAACGCAACACATGTTGGACTACTACATCTAAATATCTTCATTTTCTAGCAAACGCATTGATTGTACCGGGAGTTTTAACCTTCACATATAACTTCATCTAAACGTGTTCATATGTATAACATCTGAAGTCCAAAAGTTGTTACAATTACATATCTCTATAATAGGCGTGTTTTTTTACACGCATACGTATGTGCGTTTAAAAATTGTATACGCAACCGAACCACCCAGATCTGTATCTGGTCAATAACTGTCAACATTACCCAAAATTTTTGTTTTGGAAATTTTTATGCTGTTACTCTTTAGGTAGTTCGCTAATTCAAGAACGCTTTTAGTTATTTCATAATTAAAAGAAACAGCCACTTTTGCTTTTAATATTAAGTTTTTAAGAGATGGACATCGAGGGCATATATTCAATATGACCTCTCTGCAGTATTTGCAAAAATAAGATTCCTATATTAAAATCCACCTTAGACTTAACTGCCATCGATGATGCTAATGCTGACCTTGTATAAGTTAACTTGTAGAGTTAACTATTGAATTTCAAAGTTAGAGATTGCAACCAGTGATGGCAATTAAGTTCCAGATGGGTTCAAAGTCACAAAGTAGTTTTTGTATAAACTGCAGATATATCGTATGGAATATATGTAAGCCCTCGAACCGTACGTATAACAATTTCGATAACAAACTTGATTGAAACGCTTGAAATGCATGCTGCCTGAATTTTTCTCGAAGAAATATTTAATTTGGCAGATACTACCCACACCTCGAACAAAAAAAAAAATATGCATAAACAAAATCGGCTTCATAATGCATGCACACGTCTGCAAAATCAAATTAAAAACGCTTGCGCATATACACTCGTATATTATAATCATTTTGCGAATTTATTGCTCCTACCTTTTATCAGCTGGCCTGCATAATCTCCTTGAGTTCCCGCGCAGCAGTTTGTCATCAAATTCGACGTATTCGCCGGCCCCACAATCGTCGCTGTTACCATTGTAGTAGTCAAGTTTATGACATTCGTACGCTTTGTCATCATCATGAGCGTTGATTCCCAATTGGTTGCCTGCATCTCCGTTAGCACTGGCATATCTCTCCTGCTGTATAAACATCTCACATAGACTGTCGTAGCTTTTAAATCTCTCTTTTAGAGCTACGCTCGGCGATCGACGCTTACTTTTTACACTTGCTTTCGACCGACGCGAACGCTTTTGCTCGCCACTGTTACGCTGTTTTCTTTTCCAATCTTTTGGCGTGAGCAATGGCGCAAGAGGCGCTATGTATGGAGGCTCAAACTCCACTGCCGGCAAGTCGCCTTCACTAAAGAAAACTAAACTTGAATCTTCATCGGCATCGGATTGTGAGTATGCTGTAGTGTGATCGTCATTGTCGCTATTGCTGTGGTGCTGGTGCTGGTCTTCGTCATGGTGCTTTTTGGCATTTATACTGATTGTGTCGTTGTCGTTTCCGACCGGTGGTGTTGCTGGTGGACTTTCTAGCGATGCTGTTGTCTTGGTAGCATATAACTCATACGATTCGTCCGTTTGCAGTGGTCGCATTTGTTTGACGGGTGTATCTGAACTACTGCCAAAAGCATCCTCCTCGTCGGTTTCTATAATTAGAATTTTGAGACAAATATTTTGGCAACATCATAGCTAATAAACATTTTGAAACGCACGCATTTTTGCAAATTTACAGCAAACACTTTTTTCTCATATGCTTGTAGGCATCGTTAAACAAGATACACACACACCACCGATTGCACAATTATGAACTTTGAATTTACAAACTTTGGCCGAATGCTGGAACAGCGAAGTACTCCAATTACAACCGCCACGGCCAAACGTGGCAGAATCGTAATTTCACTTTTAATTGCGAACAAACGCGAAAAGAAAAAACACTTCCAACTAGCACCTGATTTTGCAAACCACTGAAGGAAATAAACAAACCAAAAAAACAGCTGGGCGGAAGGGCTGCCAGATAGTTGCGACAACAAGAAGAGATGCCAAGCAGCTTGCAGAAAACAAAGAAAATTGAGGTATTAAAGAAACCATAGGAAACATAGAAAATATGGCACAATGAACGCCAATGAACACTTTTACACTGTTTTATTAGTCGGGAAAATTGCTTTTAAATTTGAAAACCAAGTTTTAAAATTATTAGTAATGTTTTTAGTTTTTTGTATGTGCATGATGACTTGATGTGTAACGAAATAAAATAGAACTTGAACAAGCTTATTGTCAACGCGTGCAAAAAGATTGGTTTTGACTATCTTTTCGCTTGACGCTGAATCAAAAGCGACCTATGTGACATGCTTCCATCTGACACCCGAAGCGCTGTGGGCTCAACCTATTGAGACTGCTCGCTTCCTGGGCCTAAGGTTGGAGAAGTCAGATAGGGAAGACGAAGATGAATAAACAACAACAACATGCTTTCTGGATTCTCACGACAGCCGGTTGAACGTATCGGAATGACTCAGGTTTCACCTGACCAAGTCTGTTGTTTCGGCGATCTAATGCTGTTACGTCGGTCGCCCAGGCAACATCCATCACTAACACCCTCGGACCATAATAGCCCAACTGCGTTCTGGTTACTGCAGCAGGTTAAACTCATACCTGAGCAGATTAAATGAAGATGTTCTCAATGAATGCCCGCCATGCGCAGAGTCGTCCCATGACTCACAGCATCTCTTGGTATGCTCTCTAAATCCCACCTCTCTAACGCTCCTATCCCTACGGACAGACCCCGTCGAGGCTGCACGCGTCCTGGAGCTACCGCTAGTAGAGCTTGACGACAATGATGCAGGGAATAACCGATTAGGGCGGGGTTGTTGTAGCCGATACAACAACTACAACTAACACCCAACCTTTCCCACGACAGCCGATTCTACATATCGGAATGACTCAGGTTTTGCGCGGCCAAGGGCTGTTGTTTCGGCGATCTAACCCCGTTTAGGTCCGCGAAATCCCTGAAAAATTGTACGTCCATAGGGCTACATCTGATTCGCATACTTCTGCTCAGGGCTGACATCGAGTCAGACCCTGTTCCGGAAATCTACACCTGCTGCGTGTGCCAGAGACGACTACACTATAACTCCACCCCCGTCAGGTGCAACGCCTATGATGGGTGGAGTCACCTTCGAGTTTGCTCAGGCCTTACGACACGCAGGCAGTAGACCACCTCATACGTGGTCCCTTGCTGCTCCAACCAAGCTACCTCCACGGCAAACCAGAGTCCGCCTGAGCAACTTAACACGAACATAACCACATCACAACACCACATACCACAGACCCAACAGACCACACCATAGTTACAACCGCACCACCCACACGCCGCCAACCACTCCTACGCATACCAAGAGGCGGGCAGACAACACACCTCTTTGACACCCCACATTCCATAAAGTCTCCCAAGGCACACAAAGATTTTACAATTTAACCGTAACGGACACAGAGAAAGGTCGAGGAGATAACAATCGATAATGGCGTCTGGGAACGGAATTGATGACTTGTGCTCGAAAGTAAACGGTTATCTCGCCGAGCTGTTTCGCTTCTTCACTACACAGAGCCTAACCCTCTCCTCTACAAAATCCTCAGCAACGATTTTTACCACTTGGATGAAGGAGGTCCGACTGCAAGCCGGCAGAACCTGGGGTAAAAACAAAGAAACGTCGTTGGCAACGTACAAGGCAATTGCCCGACCGGTTATGAACTATGCAGCGCCTGTGTGGTCGCCGGATCTAGTAGGACGCAGTGGATGAAGCTGCAGATCCTCCAAAACACGGCACTTAGGACATCGGCAGGATGCCTTCTGAGGTCGGCGCAACATCACCTGCTCGACAAGGCCCACATGCTCCCGGTTAAGGAGCATACCACAATGCTCTGCAAGCAATTCCTAGTAGGGTGTCACCGTCGTGGGAACCCGAACAGACATTCGCTAGTGGAAAAACCCTCGCCACGGCACATCAGAACGCATCATAAAACAACCTCTGGATCCGTCAGCTTACCGAAAGGCTTTGAATGGCATTCACAGAGAGTCAGCCCCGAGTTATATAGACTCTCGACCTGTGAATGCCATTCTGGGTACACACCCACCAGACGTTGACGAGACAGAGCTTCGTCTACCTCGGGAGACACGGACCACAATATCCCATCTTCGCTCTGGCTACTGCAGCAGGTTGAACTCATACATGAGCAGAATGAATGCAGATGTGCAAAGCAACAACAACATCTAACATTCCACATACAATTAAGTCTCCCTAGGCACTCGAAGATTTTACAATTTAACTGAAACGGACTACAGAATGAGATCGAGGAGATAACTGTCTTTGTGGGCCGGCATGGAACGAATTGAGCCGGATAGTATGTGCTTCGTCGAGGTCGCGAGCGAGATAACGGTGGTGGCCTAGCGTTCATCTCGTATCACACCCTGCAGTATCGTCTCATCGAAGCAGACATCGACCCCAGGGAAAGCTTCATAGGATGTCAGGCGATTGCTATCCGGTCACGCGATATCGACCTCGAAATATTTAACGTTTATAAACCGCCTGTCACGATCTTCCCGACAGGATATCACCCTGAAATTAGTGCGCTCCTCAGAGGTGAAAACAGTGATGATCGTAGGGAAACACACTTGGCTGAGCAGATAGACGATGCCACATTTTGAACAATGAACGGCGACGCAGCTGCTGCAGCTCGCCTAACATAACAATTGTAAACGCTGGTCATATAAACAGTATAGTGGCGACTTATGCTGACCTTAGCATCAGATCATCTTCCCATAGTCATCTCGATTGATAAACCAGCACCAGCCGACATTGCTTCCGCGAAAGCTGATTGGAACGGTTTCTCGGAAGTTACTGAAAGCACTTTCTCAGTCCTCCCCACACCAACCGACGTTCACGTAGGTGAGCGAAAGCTCCGCAGGGTTGTCACTATTGCTGCAGCCCACTTCATCCCAGCCGGATGTATCTCGAACTCCTGTCCGAATTTTTCTACTGAAGCGGCTGTTCAATCTGGGCTTGAATCGTAACAGTCGTGAACGAGCAACTCGTCACGTAAAAATGACAAAATCGAATTGTGACAGACGTCAACGAACTTCTCATATCGTAATTCGGTATTATGACAGGCGTGAACGAGCGACTGAACTAACATCCAAATCTGATATTATTAGCCATCAAATTTGTTGTGCTTGTTATTCTGACTTCTCAAAGAAAAGTTATGTTTCTTCTCTGTGCCACCGTGATCACTTTTTCATACTATATTAAGCAATTTGAATATATTTTTACCTAAAATTTTATTAAAAACAACTTTACAAACCTTTTTTCCTCGCTAGCGCTCATTTTTGTTTACTTTTACATTTGGC